GGGGGGGAATCGGATACCTATAATGCTTTTAACAATAAAAATAAATTTTTTTAAAAAACAACTAAAAAAAATCATAAATATCTGATAAAATTATTGTGAGGGTTAAATGAGATGAAATATGGACTGGGTTTAACATATTTGTAAAGATTTTATGAATGTCAAGTATGAGATATTTATGTTTTGTTTTAAAACAGGATTTGGGGTATCTATAAAAACATGAGCAAAATTGTCAGATAAAAATATGTAAATGAGAAAGCCAGAGTCAAGAAAGATATTGCAGCCCGGCCAGCGTTGCTCAGCAGTTGAGCATTGACTTAGGACCCAGGAGATCGAGGTTTGATTCCCTGTCAGGGCACATGCCCTGGTTGTGGGCTCGATCCCCAGTTGAGGGCATGCAGGAGGCAGCCACTCAATGATTCTCTCATCATTGATGTTTCTATCTTTCTCTCTCTCTCTCTCTTGTCCTTCCTCTCTCTGAAATCAATAAAGAAATAAAAATAAATAAATAAATAAAAACCTCAAATTATGTTTGGGAGATTCAATATTGAAAAGAAAAGGAAAGGAAAGGGAAAGGGAAAGGGAAAGGGAAAAGGAAAAGGAAAAGGAAAAGGAAAAGGAAAAGGAAAGATATTGCATTACCCCAGAGAATGAGGGTTTTTAGCTTTCTTACATCAGATAACAACTTGGCCATTCATCCACTCATTTGCTGGGTCAGCCAGCACTTCACTTTGAGCACCTCTCCCAAGTGACAGCATATGGAGAAAAAGACCGTGTCTCTGCTTCAGGCAGGGAAACAGAACCCAGAGATGCCCACTAACACGGTGCCGCAGGAACTGTGAGAGAAGATGGGTGAGGGCACCTGGGGAGTAGCCCTCCAGACAGTGACAGCTGGGTCTGCAGGTACTTCCCACCCTGAGTCCTGATTGTATCTGTCCCATGTTCATGTTTTAGCAACCACCTTGGGGCGAGAAGATGGCCAAGATTAACACCCAGTACTCCCACCCCAACCCGCCCTGCCCTCGGGTAAGGACCACAGACAGAGATCTCGATCCCATGGAAAATGGCCTCCGCAGGTAAGTCGGGCTTGTTATTTCGGGCCTGGAAACTGTTATTCCCCGGGCTGGCCTGTGCTGTGGGGGAATGCCTTCGCCGATGGCCAACCACAGGCTCCTTCCAGCAGCACTTTTCATCTCACTGAATCCTCGCAACCCACTCTGAAGTCATTTTTGTTCCTGTTTTAGAGATGTGGGAAAATAAGGCTCAAAAAGTTCCATAACTTCAGAAAGTACCAAAATGAAGATTTGAATGTCGCAGATTCAATTCTACTGTAGAAACATCTCCAAACTGCCCCACAAACATGTGCTGGACTCCACTGTGCACCAGCCACTGTCCTGGGCACTGGGATGCCCTGCCGTCCCTGCCAGGGGCCGGTCAGGCTTCATGCTACACTAGTGGGCAGTGCCCTGCAGGCTGCAGGGAAATCAGGGGCCCCAAGCTCTACTTCTGGCCAGGTTGCTAACTTGCTAGGAGACTTGGGAAAATTCACTTAACCTTTCCATGCCTCAGTTTCTTCATTTGCAAAATGGAGCAGTATTCTTTTCCAAGTTCCTGACATACTAGTAAGGAAATGGAAAGTGCCTGTTTGGTGCAAGAGGGCTTACATGTTTCTGTTTCTTATATTCCCAATGAGTTGATTGAGTGGAACCATGAGAAACTTTATTTCCAACATTTATGTTAACTTTGTCCTATGTATATAACACTGAAAACTTCTCCCCCCACGATGACTGCATATTATCTGATGGTCACAATGCAATGACAGCCCCTCGGTCCCCAAGCCACTGGCACTGGGCCCTCACCCATCATTTCTCCTCACTCAGGTGCACATTTGTCTCTTCTCTGTCTGGGAATTTGGTTCCAGCTCCTTAACAAACTCTGCTAATAATTGGACTACAATTTCTGAAAAGACTGAGTCCCTATTACTTGAAATTTATGCAGCCCTTGGACCCCGCCTTCTAGGATTCAGACAAAGGGAGGAAAATCTCAAAGCATCCCAACCAAGGTTTATTCCTCCACTATTGCAACATGCTGCTAGGGTCCCAGGAAATGTCACATGACTTGGGGCCCTTAGGAAACCCCACCCTTCTAATTGCTCCCTCCTAACTGGCCTGCTATCAATACCTGTATCCCACCACAGGGGACTTACTCCTTTAGGTTAAAGTATTTCTTTAATTTAAAAGAAAAAAGGATATTATTCAGTATTATTAATACTTTGGTATGCATTAATAGTCTCCTTCCCATATCTAAGCTAATAAAAGCCCCTCAAACGTGGGCTTTGAAGAAGCTTGGGGTGGGGATAGGGGGAGAAAAGGCCCAAGCATGGGCACAGCAGTAAAGTCAGGCTCACTGGCAGCATCTGGCTCCTGGGATCTTGGTCCCAATGGGAGAAGACCGGAGTCTGTCAGGATCAGGGGGTATTCAAAGCAAAATGGAATTTCCCCCCATCGCTCCCTTTCCGTGTGCTGGGGCATAACCAGAGCATCTCTTGGAGCTTGCAGACTCCTGGGGCTGAGAAGAGAGGGGCTCATTCTGGCTCCTTCCAGTGAGATGCTCAAGAGAAAGTAGGCCCAGGTGGTGCCGTGGCTCTTGCCCAGATGGCTGCTTGACCAGACACTGCAGTGGTCCAGCTCTGCCCGATTTGTCCTGGCTTCTCCTTGGCCAGTGGCCTGCAAGCCTGACTGTTTGAGAGGACCCACGAGGTCTCCTGGGAGAGGAGCCTTTGCAAAAGGAACTGCCAGCTCATTGAGCCACCTGACACCTAGTGATATCCTCTGGCTTATGAGAGATTCCACTCGGGCTCACACTGGGCTCACAGTGTCTCAGGGCTGGTCAGCCACACTGGTCAGAGCTCTGAATCCATGCCCTTCAGCAATGCTATTCACCATCTTCCTGGGTGAGACTGTCCTCCCCTCCCCCTTCCCCCCACTCCCTTCTTCCGTCCCCCCATTCCCTGACCAGCAGGATGGCGAACAGCACCAGTCAGACTGCTGACCTGAACAGTGGCCCATAACTGACCAGCTCTGAAAAAATGCTTGACTGCTCCAAGCCTCAGCTTCCTCATCTGCACAACATGCTGCACTTACCGCAGAGGGCTGTAGTGGGGTTCAAACAGGCCAAAGCTCTGGGCTCTGTCCCTGCCTGTAGTAAGTGCCCCGTGAACACTTGCTGTCAGTCTCGGACGGTAGTCCCCCTCCCATGGGCCTTCTCTGGTGTCCCAGGCTGGAAGCCTTCTCCTCCTCTGACCTCAGAGCCCCAGCTGTTCCAACATCTGGATCTGGCCCTTTCCCGCCTGTGTCCCAGTCATGCTTTCTCAGCCTGACCACTAACCAAGTCTCACCCCTAGCCGCACTTGAGCCCTTGCCCAGCTGCTCATTTGGGAAAAGCTTGTTGACAAGTGAATACAGAATTCCATGGAAATTCGGCAAAGACTTTAAACAAAGAGGGAAAGAACACTTCTTTATCTCCTAGAGGCAGGAGTGGGTTAACAGATGGAAGTTTCCAGAATGGGTCCCGTGGCATCACCACAGATTGAGAACTGTGTTCAGTCTAGAAGTGGAACAGTGGGGTCGAGACCCCTCCACCACTTCCCCATGGGGCCCAGCATCTACTAACCACAGACAAATTTTCCCTGTAAGACTTATGTGAACACAGGACTCTGGCACATACGTAACACATTTTAAAGTTTCAAATCACTATCTTAAGGGAGGAAATGGTATTTGAACAAACCACAGACCTTTGCCTTGAAATTCAAATCCTTTTAGAAAGCTTTTGGGAGAACTAACTGTGCCTGTGTGTCCTTAACATTAGTCACTCTTTACCCTCAGTGATGTCTGAAGTTGTGCTGGGGCCCCTGCTGAGCCCCCAGAGGGTAGGGACTCCATGGCCTCCTCCCCCTAGGGCCCTGCCCCAGGTTTTTTACCAAAATGGATATGCAGGTTTCTGTTTCTCTTTTTAAATCACTGGGGCCATTTTCCCTGTTAATGGTGATAAGGAAGAATGAAAACATTTCACTTGAACAAAAAATTGAGTTTACACCCTAAAAATACCAGAAATAAGAAGTCTTGAATTTCTCTGTTCTATTTAGATCTGTTCAGTTGACTCAGTTATTTAAGAGCTGCCTGGTGTGTTTCTGAAGATGATACACTAGGGAAAGACTTGAGAATCTGAGATAGGAAGTTGCAGACAGGACTGGCGGGGGGGCACCAGGGTCTCAATGTCCTGGGGCAGCTATTTCAGGTGAGCTTTGGGGCTTAGGGATCTGTGTCCCACAGAAAAGACACCTTCTCTGTGTTGACCCTTGAGCAGATCCCTGAGCAAGTATCAACCCCTCCCAAAAAACACACACCCCCATTTTCAGCTGCTTCCCAGGCAGAAGGAAAGAAGGCAGTGGCTTCCATTCTGGGCACACGCGGCCACCGGCAGTGCCTACTGCTCACTTAGGCTCCTCAGGGCTTGGGCAAGGAGAAGCCAAATATGGTCTCATGCTCTCTACTCTTGTTCTGAAAGGTCACTTCTGTTTGCTCTCATGTCCCCAAAACCACTGGAGGATGACACCAGCTGCTCCACAGAGGGCAAAGTTAATTACCACTTCGTCTCAGGCCTCTGACCTCTCTCAGTAACAGGAAACTGTACCTCAGGAACATCAATTCCTCTTTATAAATAAACGTGGGGATGAGCATTGCACGGGGGAAAGTACCTTGTCTTTCAGAAAGTCCCTTCACTGTGTCGCACTCCTTGCTCTTGTTCTCGCTAATTACCAAGTTCATGGGCTTCTTCCTGCAAAAGCACTGTTCCCTCCCAGAGCTGGGGTCTGTGAGTGGGAAGGCAGGCGGCTCATTTTGCAGAGACTGAGGCCCTGTTGAGTCCTTGACCAGGCCCCTCAGCCAGCTCCTGGCAGCCCCCGCCTCTCTTGCCTCTGAATTTCCCTGGGAGGTTCTTGCACTGAACGCCAAAAGTGTCTTCCTTGGCCTGGCCAGTGTTGCTCAGTGGTTAGAGTGCCAGCCCATGCACTGAAGGGTCATGGGTTTGATTCCCAGGTCAAGGGCAGGTACCTGGGTTGCAGGTTCCATCCCCGGCCTCGGTCGGGGCTCATGTGGGAGGAAATCAATCGATGTGTCTCTCTCACATCGATGTTTCTCTCTCTCCTTTCCTCCCTTCTACTCTCTCTAAAAACCAATAGAAAAAATATCCTCAGGTGAGGATTAAAAAAATTAAAAACAAAAAAGAACCAAGTGCAGAGATACATGGGAAAGAAAGGCCCCTTCGAGTCCCTTGAACTTACATCATGTGAGGCTCCTTCATTCTTCACGGCTACTTGTGCCCTTCTGGACTTGAGTTTGTGAACAACACTTAAATCAACATGAAATCACCTCTTTTTTTCTTTCTTTCCTTTTTAAATACCAGAAAACAAACTCAGGGAAGGTGAGTGACCAGCCCACCTGGCTAATAGGTGCTGAGGTAAGGATGGGACCTAGGCCTCTCACTCTGCCCCTCTCCTCCTAGTGGGTGTCATATGTCTGGTCCACACACAACAGCTCTCACAGCGGCAAGCAGCAGGCCTGCTTTGAAATCTCATGGGTTCTGCCCTCCTCGCAGGCCTCAAGCTCTGATGTCATGGGTGTTGATTCCTCTGCTGCTAATGCACTAAGTCTGGTCTCAGGATGTGTCCTACGTAATTAGCAGAAACCAGACTCGGCAGAAACACTGGGCTGGCTGTGTGGTGCCCAGAGCTCCCGGAGGAGCTGCCGGTGGGGACAAAACACCCCCATCCCTGGGATTGCCTCCAGGTCTTCCAGAAGCACGTGCCAGGGCAGAGCTCCCCCAGCTGTTCCCACCTCCCACCACTCTGTGCCAGCTGCTGGGATCTAGGGGCTGGACAGACAGACTCACTTGTCCCCCTGGCTCCTCCCCCGGGAACTGAGAGAGGTGCTTTGGGAGGTTCATTCCACCCATGTAATATACAGAATATCAGACGGGCAACTGAATTATAGCTTCCTAACTGCAGCGGGGCCGGACAAGATCTCATATGTATCAGGATGAGATGTGAGTGGTCTCTTATGGGAATAGGGGTAGAATTCAATTAAGTGGTTTGGAAGTAAAGAGACAGGTCTACATAGCGCAGCTGGGTGGATCAGAGCCCTGTTTTTAGTCGCAAGCCACAGGGCTCAGTCCTCAGCCATGTCCTATTCAACTTCTGTTTTAATTGGTACCATATATGAAAATACGGAGGGCAGCTTCATGGTGTGGAATGGGATGGAATTACATTCAAATCTCAGCTTTGCCACTTGGCTGTGTGCCCTTAGGAAAGTTACTTAACCTCTCTGAACCTTGTTTTCCTCTCTTATAGGGTTATTATGGGGATTAAATGATAAAATGGATATGGCTGACATACAGTAAGCAGTCAATGTGTGTTACACAGTTTGTGTTTGTGAATGAGACGGAGTTGGGAGGAAAGGCTAGTATTATGCACTGCATACCAAGAATCTCAAAACATCAAGTGACTCAGATAAATGGGAAGGTCCAATACTTATTTCCAACAAACAAATTGTTCACGGAGCAGCCATGTTATAGGACTTTGGGTTTCGGCTGATAGTAATTGGTGATGGGGGCCCCAAAAGCACACAAACCCACAGCCTACAAAGACCTCTGGCTTGGGCTCCAGTAACAGCAGGATGGTCTTCACCTCCCCTTCCAGTCAGGCAAGAATGCAGGAACCTGCACCCAGGAGAATGACCGTGATGAAGAAGAGACTTGAACCTGATAAGGAATAGCTGGGGGAGCTGAGGGTTTGAGCCTGGAAAAGCAGCACAGGGATGAGATCCGTCCCATCACGGAAGGCGGCCATGGAGAAGATGCAGGAACTGTGTGGTTCCAGCAGAAGAAAGGAGTCTTGACGTGGGGAAGCAGAGGGAGGGGAGAACCTATTAGCAGTCAGAGCTGTGCAAAGGCAGGACAGGACATGGGATGGTAGTGAGCTCCCCCTGCTGGAGACACAGGGGTGCTGTCGGGAGTAGGAGGCCCAGCTCAGCGGCTGGGGTGCAGGGTTCTGATGTCTAATCACTCAGTGGAGAGAACTGGAGCTTTTTCTCTGACATTAATTCTTGCCCCCTCCTCAGCCGTTATCACCTCGTTAGAGGGCTGATTAGGTTGGAGTAGGTCATGAGATAGAATTAATTTGGCTTGCCTGGGCTCTTCAGGACTTGCAAATCCCTAGAGGCCAATGCCTGGATGGCTTTTAATCAGGCTGGTTAACCGCAGCCCCAGAAGGTTTTAAAGGAAAGGGAAAGAAAAGAAAATATTCCCAGACACACTGGTCTTATTCCAGGCAACTCCATAAACACTAGGGAAGGCCTCCTGAAGGAGGTGGCAATCGATCTTGCCTTAGAAGATAGGATTTCACTAGGCAGAGATGAGTTTGAACCAAAACCCTTGTCTGGAATCAGTGTGGATAAGGCTGCCACAGGCCGNAAAACCCTTGTCTGGAATCAGTGTGGACAAGGCTCCCACAGCCCAAGGTGGCGGCACTGGGACCTCTCCCTCCCAGGGCTCTGACCAGGACAGTGTGTCGCTGGCTCACCTCTCTCATTGAGCCCATGGCAGCAGCTGGCCTTGAGCTACTTTCTGTGGACAGACTTGCTGTAGGAAAGGATCTGTGGCAGTGTGACCTGAAGTGGGGAGCCTCTGAGTTGAGGACCGTGACGGCAGCTGTCCTTATTAAGCAGAGCATCTGGCCATGTCATTGCTGAGTGTGTCCAGGAGGTGCATAAGCTTGAAATCAATTCAGCCTGCTGCATATTTGATTTCCTAGGACCCGCTCACCAGGCGAGGAGACATCCTCAGGACTGCAACCAGGAATCGCCATGGAGACCAGAGGACAGACTGAATCCAGGCAAGGCTCCTTGACCGGCCAGGAGCCTGCCAGGTAACTGATGGGCCTTAACCTCCACTTTGGGAAGGGGGAAACTGAGGCAGAAAGAAAGTAGATGCATCTGAGAAAGAAATGGTGGGCAGGGTGGGTTGAAGATTTGGAGAAAAAAGAGGCAGGAGCAGAGCCGTCAGAAATCCATCAGTGCGTAATTCTCCCTCGGGTCAGGTGGCCCGAGCTCAGAAAATTCTAAGAAAAGCTGCCTTTATCTGAAATTGCTTTAATAAAAAGTGATTTTGAGAGACTTGCTCAATTCTGGAAGAATTCGGGAGAAAAAAGCCAACCAAGGAAGGCTCAGAAAAAAAGTCCAGTGGGCCATGGGAGACCATTGGTGGACCGCTGCGGCATGTAGACAACACTGGCACTGCCGAAGTAGCCTCTGGCAGGACCTCACCAGCACAGCGTGCCCGCTTGTAAAAGCATCTGAAACGTTCACCAGGCTCTCTCTCCCTTCTGATGGTGTCTGAACTCGGGCTTCAGTAACTGTACCACCCGAAGGACATCATTGCATCTTTCCGACTATCATCTAAGATTGTCTGACCGGGCTGGCCCCACGGTGGCTGCAGGGCTGCACTGCAGCCAGGTGCTGACCCATGACAGGGGTCCACAAATCTGGGCTCACTGTTCCTTCCACCAATTTTGTTGTTGCTGTTGTTGTTTTGTGTGTATGTGTGTGTTAATCTTCACCTGAGGATATTTTTTCCATTGCTTTTCAGAGAGAGTGGAAAGGAGGGAAGTAGGGGGAGAGAATCATTGATGGGTTGCCTCCCTTATACTTGAAGATGGAACCCGAAACTTCGGTATGTGCCCTAACCAGGAATTGAACCTGCAACCTTTAGGTGTACAGGATGATGCTCCAACCAACTGAGCTACCCAGCCAGGGCACCAATTTTTTTTTTTTTTAACAATGCCATAGTTATTTTATATAATCATGTGTTCTGCAGTTTTTGCTTAAGATAATCGCAAAAATTTTTATTCATTCTTGATATTTTTCATTATGGAGAATGCTGTCACCATCTATTTCACTATCCATCATAACTGGACATTTAAGTGATTTCCAGTGTTTTTGTCTTAAGGCTCATGGATTGCAAGGAAGAGAATGCTGTCAAACCGGTTCAAATTAAAAGGCCTGGGGCGGGGCAGGGCTGGGGCAGGGCTAGGGCAGGGCTGGGGCCAGGTGCTGGTAGAAGGTAAGATACTGGCCACCTCATGGAAATGGAGCCAGTGGGGCTCCTGAGGGGAGCTGGGATGGGGGGGAGTATCTTTTCCCTTTCATTTTCTTGTAGAGGTTCAGGTCTTGGTGCTTTTTTCTGCTTGTCTTCTTGGTTTCTGTCTCTGTTCACATATCACAGCACAGGCTGACAATGGCCTTCACCATGCGATCTTGAGTCATCCAACCCCATCTTGGAGTGGCTCTTAGATGAGTGGCTTGGGTGACTCTGGTTCAGCTGTCCCTCTTTGAGCCCATTTGCTGAAGCTGAAGGGGTGGTATGGCCTCAGTTTCACCTCCTGGGCAGAGGGAAATGGGGAAGGGGGAGTGTCCAGAGCAGACAAGTTGGGCTGGGAGGGGCCTCGACAAACTTGCATGGCCGCAGCTGTAAGCAGCTGTTTCTGGGACATTTTCTTGCTTCAATTTATTCCCTTAAGCTAAGGTCACAAGTGTGTAATTAAGACCAAAGTATGTGATAATTTGTGACTTCATTTCAGGTTGCTCAGAACTGTTTTTATTGGGGACTGCGGTGTGCACCGTCCGTGCCAAGTCAGGGAGACCAGACGCCAAAATACAGAGCTGAGCTCTCCTCCCACTGCCTCCTGGCAGAGACAGGGACGGCAGGAGGCGGGGCTCAGGGAAGCTGGAGCTAAGACCAGCTCTGTGGACATGGACTGACCGTCTCAGGGCCTGAGGCCCCCGGGGGCCTGACTCCAGGAGAATGGTAAAGCCGAGGTGCAACAGAATTTATGCACAAGCCAGGGGAGAAAATGAGAGTTTGCATAAGAAACAATAATACAAGGGTTGGGGGAAGACTCTCAATTGTATTGAAGGGTTTGTTTCCTTAAAACCTTGCTCTAAATTTTTCACCAGTTGTAACAGAGTTCCACACGGGGCAAAAGGAACAGTGTGGCCCGGCCAGTGTGGCTCAGTGGATTGAGCGTCATCCCATGCACCAAAAGGTCACCAGTTCGATTCCTGGTCAGGGCACATGTCCGGGTTGTGGACTTGATCCCCGGTAGGGGACTTGCAGGAGGCAGCCAATCAGTGTTTCTCTAGTCGATGTTTCCATCTCTCTCTCCCTCTCCCTTCCTCTCTCTCTAAAAAATCAAAACATTAGAAAAAAGAAAGAGAACAGTGAGCAGAAAAGCTTGCTCATGTCCATTGGAAGGCTCATGCCTTTGGAGAGTCAAGGTGTTAGAAGGACAAGGCCATTATGAGGACAGCGTCCCTTACAGAGGAAGCCGTGTTCTAGGTGCAGATGTCAGAGGAGACAGGAATAAAAGGCCTGGGCAGAGTGAGTGAGGTGCAGCCTGAGTCCGGGACCTAGAAGGAGACGAGTGCTTTTCTGTCTTCCTCTTCTGTGCACTGACTGCCCGTCGCTGCCCTTCCAGGCTGTGGCGCCTCATCGTCTCACTGCGCGTGTGGGCTTCCAGGCACTTACGCCACCAGGACCAGAGACCTGACTCGTTCCTGGAGCGTTTCCACGGAGCCGAGCTCAAGGAGGTGTCCAGCCGAGAAAGCAGTGCCCAGTCCAACGTGGGCAGCGAAGAGCCAGCAGACGGAGAGAGCAGGTAAGGAGCCAAAGGGAGCATGGGCCACCTGCAGCAGACAGGTGGCAGGAGGCACCGCTGGCTAGCTCAGCTGGGAGCCGCTCCTTGAAGAAGACTTTGGTCTCAGGGGAGCCCCAAGTGCTCTAACTGTCTCTGTCCCAGTCCCAGAAGTCCTGCAGGAGAGGAACCCTTTCCCCAGAGTCCCCAGCCTCATGCGACCCCTGACCCCACTCTATTCAGGGCTCAGCTAGTGTCCCCTGGAACTGGTACTCTCAGAATCACACATGGGGGTGCTTGCCTCACCCATCTCTGTCCGCCAGAGGGCCCTCCTCCTAGACTGCACTGTAACCCACCTTGATACAAACCCATGCTCCTCAGGGAGAGCCTAAATGGTACTGTTTATTGCAGAGGGATACATGCATTTTTCCAGAAAGAAGGTCTGCAGGTGAGTGAGAATTTTCAAGGGGAACCATTCATGTTCCAGATCAGGTTAAAACCGTGGGGAAGAGCACAAGGAGGGGCTAAGGTGGGGGTGGGGAGAGCTTCACCTTTTGATAGGAGAAGGGTCTGCAGGACAAGGGGTCTGGGCATCGTCTAGCCGACCTGCTGCCCAGCTAGGAGCCTGTGGCCAGTGCCATTTGGGGCAGGACTGACCTCCACACCCCACACCCCACACCCCACACCCACACTGCTACTACCACTCTCCTCTCTTGTTCTTGAGAAGTCCCCCAGCCCATGGTCAGTGGGGAGACCCCTGGGCCACCACCGGTTGAGTCAATAGTCACTGAGCAGCAGAGGGTCTCTAGGACTCTGGAGGCAGTTGTGGGGTTGGACAGGGGAGACGGCAGGTGAAGTTGAGCTTCTGCCTCTGGAACATCTCAGAACCTGCTTTCTGAAAACGGGCCTAAAAGGCTGTTTAGTTTGAATTCTCTAGGTAATGCCAAGACCTATAAGATGCAGAGGTAAAAGTAAGCATGGTCGCTGCAGAGCAGACAGTCTCTATGTAAGTGTTAGAGAAAATGCTGTGCGCTTTTGTATCTAATGAGAAGTGCTCAGCTGTGGGCGTCTCAAACGGGCTTTGGAGGGCCTTGGGGATGAAGGCCATGAAGCCTTGGAAACAGGAGGGCTCTTCTCTATTTGCGTGTGTTGGGGAGGGGTATTTTTATTATAGATATGCAGTAGATCGCAAAATGCACACGCATATTTAAGATAAAATATGGGAGTTTAGGGCAATTTCTTGCTAGTGTCCACTGGGGGAAACACAGATTTAGTCTCCTGGCGGGGAAAGGTGTGAGGGTTGCTGACTGGGATGCGAAGGCCCCTGGAGCAACATTCCTGGACTCCTGTCCTCATGTGAGCTTGGACTGCCAATGCTTGGGTACTCTGGGCTGTGGGAAGGGGACCATAGAGAGCTGGGTACTGGCTAGGACCTGTGCAGGAACATCCCACATTCCCAGGGCCAGGCATCCCAGACTGTGAAGGCCCTTCCTGAGTGCAGGGCCTGAGAGCTGTCCACTGCTGAGCCAGAAAGACGAAATGGGGGTTGTTGGCAGCTCAAGAAACAGAGAAGGTGGGGAAGGTAGAGCAAGAGAAGGAAAGGGAGGGAAAGGGGCTTGCTAGCAAGCAAGCCAGACCCCTCAGTTCCTTTTGGGTGAGCAAAGACTTCTTCAGCTAAACTGATCCGATTGTCTTCTCCACAACCTTAGACTTATGGAAATGAACATGAGACTGTCGATTTCCCAGTGTGGCCAGATGAGCGGAGGGTTGAGCTAGGACCTTATGGTGCCAGGCTCCACTACATCACAGATGCTGGTCACTTGCAGGAAGGTTCAGAGTGGGTAGATGAATTTGATGGTGCAAGACGGTAGCTGATCAATTAGGGAGGCTTCCTGGGGGAGGAAGACTGAATTTTTGATGCAAAGTCCCACTGGCAAAACAAAATGTTAGCAGAGACCAGTCTTAGTGCAGTGGGTTTGGGCTGTGGGACAGCCAGCCCAGAGGTGTGATCAGCATAGGCCACTGCATCCATGGAGCTAAGCTTTTGCTCCTTCCCAGTCTCACAAGGAGGTGTTGCTTCCTGGGTTTCCAGATGCTGGGAACCAATCCCCAAGTAATCCTGGGAGGGGAGAGGGTGACTTGGCAGAAGTCCCAAAGTGGCATCATAGAAGAGGGGCCCTGAGGTCAGGCTGGGGTGTTATGCGCCACTGGCTTTGGTCTCCAGGTCTCCTATGAGTGTCTGCAGTGACCATGAACTGGCAAGCCACCCTCCAGCTCGATGAGGCCAAGCTGGCTTCCCGCACCAGCCGTGCCCCAAATGTGCCCTGGTAGTTGACCACTTGGAGATAATACCTTTGACCCTGAAGTACTGTGCTGTTCAGCTTTTAAAAAATGTTTGCTTGGGAGCAAAACCAGTCGCACCTCCCACCGGGTTCTCACATGATCAGGGTGGCAGGACCGGATGTGTTGAGATGAATGTGAGGGCAGGAGGTGGGAGAGGAGACACTGGGACAGTTCTGCCCGTGGTCTGTGTTCGCTCTGCAAATTGGAAGTCACTGCTGTGACTGCATCTTCCAGTGGGGGTGCCCTTACAAGCCAGGTCTCTGCAGACGAGGGCAGCAGGCTGTCACTGCTGCTGCTGCGTCCATTCTTGAGTGCAAGGCACTCGACCCACCTCACCTGAGAGCACCCAAGGGCAGACGCCATGTTAGATCCACAGCTGTGCCCTTCATGCCACTTTCGCATAATTAAACTGCATGAAATAGAGTTGAACCTGAGCCAGATGCTGGATGGAGTCACATGGTCGATCCCATTTATTCTGGAGCCTCTGGTTAGCCAAGCAGTCACCCTCCCTCCCTGCAAGGCTTGTACCGGAGCAAACTAGTCACAACACATTTTAGTCCCCGACACCCTCTGTCCCTCAAGCCGTGTGGAAAGGCCCGGGAGGTGGGGCAGGGGCGCTGGAATAACCACCTGGGGCCGATGGGCCCCTGAGCTGGAGCTGAGTTCAGGTTCCCATGCTCCCTTCTCTCCGCCTCCTGCAGCAGCTCGCCCCTGGCCAGAAACAGTGCCAGCACCTGCAGGGGAGCAGAGGAGCGAGTACCCCTGCTCCCCCAGGGCCCCTCGCCCTCCCTCTTCCCCGGAGATGCCCAGCTTTCTTCCCTCCTGAAGTCTTCTTCCCTCCCATCCTCTCAGATCGTCCTAGAATCCTGTTCCTTTTATTGGAACTCCATCCCCAGGACAAACTGAGGGACCTGATCTGTGGGACTTCTTAGGGCAGGTCCTTTTATCTCTTTGTCTCAATTTCTTATCTATAAAGCAGGGGGGTGGATGGGATAAACATTTCAAGCTTTAACAGCCCCTTGAGTGCAGAACCAGAGGGTGCCCCCACAGAACCTCCGGCTCCTAGGTGCCAATGAAACGCTCTTGTCCTAAAGTCGATCAGGGGCCAAGTTGGAGGGTGGACTCAGGGCAGTGGAAGAGAAAATTTAAATATTTCCAGAGCATAGCCTCTAGAAATGGTGACCCTCTGTTATCACATGCTGAGCACGCAGACCAATGTGACGAGTGATTATGGCAAATGCCACCCAAGAGCCCAATGTGTGATCATACATGTGTGTTAGTGCATGTGCACCATTTTCCTGCCTTCTTCATGGAATATCATGGGAATAGCTGGAGGAGAATGTCTCAGTTGGAGCTTAGGAAAAACCATCAATATCAGCAAGAAATGCCAATGTCTTGACTTCAATCGAAAGAGAAATGTACCAGGGCTTTTTCTTGTTATTTCCCTTTGTTTCTCTGGTAGAACATTTTTCCATTTCCCTCCATGAAACTTAGTTGCATTTTGTTTGCATGAATTTGGACATCACATCCACAGACCCAAGTGCTAGCAATCAAGAAAAATGAAATTATTTCAGCTACAAAACAATAGCTATTGCAATATGTGCTTGATTTAAAGCCAAACCTGATAATAACAGCTTTGAAACCTGGTTTTAGTCCCTCGGTCAGAGAAAGGCTCAGGGCACTAGAAACCATGGACCGAGGTCCTGGAGGTCTCTAGGCTTCTTTGTCCTGGGGCTGACACATGGGTGGGTGAGGATGTGGGTGTATGGTGTTGGCTGCACTGAACTCCTATAAATCTTTTCAGATGGGCTCATATCATGGGTCCAGCCCTGCAGCCAAGGACCAAGGGACAAAACTGGACACTGCCCCAAACAGGGCTACCTAAACACAAAGGTACAGAAATAATTTTTATGGGCACCCACGCCCATTCTTCCACCACTTCTGGTGTTTTCACTTAGTCCCATGAATCCTGACTCTCCCTCCTTGATCAAACTGCTCCAGTCAAAACCAGTTTCATTTTACGGCTGCGAGTGGGTCTTTTGGGTCAGTGCTGGGTGGGTTTGGGGATGCAGCTGGATGGCGCTGGGTCTTCCCTAGGCTCTCAGCAGATTGGTAGCCAGAGGAAAGGCCAAAGCCCGAAATCAGGAACCAAAATCCTGGACAAAGAAACCTGAACCTGGTGCAATTAAAACTCCCAGCAAGGCTTAGCCTGCTCAATAAGCTTGTAGGAAGCGCCCTCTGCTGGTATCTTGATGCTAAGATTTTGGCCACAGAAAGGACTTGGGGGCGTATCACAGGAGATCCAAGAGGACAGAGCATGGGTGACTGTCTTTCCTCTTCTCACTTAACAAGCTTGATAAATTTTATTCTTATTTTATGTATTCATATATACATTGTCAAAAACTTGCAAAACACAGAAAAGCACACAAGAGCGTACACACCTAGAAAAGTCTGCTTCATGTTAACGGTGGGATCCCATTCTCAGAGAAAACCCTTTTTAACATGTTGGCAAAGATACCTCCCAGTTTTTCTTAGGTATAAAAATCAAATGGATAGATAGATAGAATATATTTAATACAGACACTGGTTAAGAGCATTTGCATCCCAACTCAGCCACCTAAAAGCTTTGTGACTTTGGGTAAGTTGCCCTACCTCTCTGTTTCCTGACTTGTAAGATAGATGTTGTAACTGTGTCTTACTTACAGGTTTGTGTGAAGACTAAATGTGTTAATTATGTAAAGTGCTTAGAACAGTGCCTGGTACATAGTAAGTGCTCAATAAATATTGTCTAGTATGTTAAGCAGAATAATTTCAGACTACAGCTGGAACCAGGCTTAGGGATTGGGACCTCAGGGTGCAGGTCCACCTGGGCCAAATGTGTGAGCTCAGGCAGAAGATGCATTGTCACTTGCCCGGACCCTGCAATCCTCAAAGAGCCCGATCCTCCTGCCTGGCCTACCTCACCTTGCCTCCACGCAGCTCTGCTTCTCACTGACCTATCCCACCTAGCAGCTTCCTCCAACTTGCTGGAACTCACCGAAGATAATTTTTGAGAGTCACATCTCCAACATGGGCTCTGTGGGCCTCATACTTTGTCAAGTTCTTCGCTCCCTGGTGTGGACACTGCAAGAGGCTTGCCCTTGAGTATGAAGCTGCAGCTAGCTACCAGATTAAAAGGAGTTGTTCCATTAGCAAAGGTTATTGCCAACACAGACCCTGAGACAAACCCTAAAGGTCCCTGCTGCTGGAGAAACACAGTGATGACAGTGGCTGAGAAATTCCTGAATGGACTCTGGACACAAACTCTACTGTGGCTGGCTGCAAAACCTTCAGCCACAGACTTTCTGATTTAGGTTTTGAGAGCACTGCTGAAGAAGTTGCTGTGGTTGCTACCAGACCTGCCGAAGGAGGAGACTGTCCTGCAGGAGGAGTTCTTGAGCGATGTCACGCCTCTTGAGAGATTCCTGCAGGGTTATTTGGATGGCAACCTGAGGAGAGACCTGAAGCCTGAGCCTATCCCAGATAGCAACATTGACCCCATGAAGGTAGTGGTAGGTAGAGCAATGGTTCCCCGTGAAGCCCCGGTAGATCCCTACGCCCTGTGGCTGTATCCCCCACATGACAAAAGGGGACTTTGCAGATGTGGTTAGGTTTAAGGACCTTGAGAGAGTAGATGATCCTGACCCGGGATAATCTGGGTGGCCCCTTTAATCCCAGGCATCCTTCAAAGTAGAGAACTTTTGCCAGCTGCAGAGAACCAGGGTGGTGGCATGTTGAAGGGAACTCAACCCACTGTTTCTGGCTTTGAAGGAAAGAAGATTTAAACCAAGGCTGCAGCAGCCTCTGGAAGCTGGGAATGCCCTCAGCGTACAGCCAGCAACGAAATGAGGACACTGGTCCTACCATTGCAAGGAATCGAATTCGGCCAACAGTCCAAATGAGCAGGAAAGCAACTCTCCCCTGAAGTCTTCAGAAGGGTCACAGCCTGTGACACCCTGATTTTTGCCGGTGAGACCCATGCCATACTCTGACTTACAGACCTGCAGGGTCCCTGTGGGTCATTTAAGCCATGGCATTTGTGGCAGTTTGTTCTGGCAGCAACGCGATGAATGCAGCTATTACTATAAACTCCATGCAGTCTGCTTCGTAACCGCTAAACGTCAGGCCCGTTTCCCCGGGTCGCTGAATACGCTTCACCGGCTTCTGAAGGGGCCTCCGGATCCACTGTCGATGACGTTGCCCGACTAGAAGCCTTTTGACTTTATAAGTAGCGGTCCTGCTCATTCCTTTGTATGCACGTTTGCACGCAGCTTGGATTATTTCCTTAGGAAATGCTGTGGAAACTGCGCTGATCTTTTTCAACAGGTGTTTCATTAGCAGACATTTATCTCTCATCCAGCACCTTCCTCCAGGATATGGAATGGGGAATCTGGGGGCCTGTGGGTGACTCTGGGGGACCCCTGACGCAGGCCAGGTCCCTTACCCTCTGCCACGGTTTCCTCAGCTGTTCAGTGGGCCGTGATGCCTGACTTGCAGAACTGTTGTAACTATTAGCAGGTCACCTTGAGGACTGCTCCCAGTCCTCAAATGACAGCCAGGGAAGAGGGAGCGAGTGAAGCCAGCGTTGTGGAGATGGCTGCACTCACGGGGGCATGGGGGCCTTCCTGCGATGGGGAGGGAGGGGGCCGTCCACCCCCAGCCTCAGGCACTCGCTCCCTTTCTCCTGTGTGAAGCTGGCTCCTTCCTGCACCCCAGCTTTCTCCCCAAAGCCAGGTTTTCATCCAATGCCCAGATAGGTTTTGAGAACAATCAGCAGGCCACACCATTTTCTTTAGAACAAAGGGCTCCGTAGGTGCCTTTTCTACCCCACGGCCTCTCCTCCCTGTCACTCCAGCCCACCCTCTCCATGTGACAGTGTCTGTGGTGTGTGAAAATTGCTTAATGTCACCCTGTGTCATCCAGTGACAAGGCAAGGAAGGAGGAAAAAGAGAGGAGGGAAGAAGAGAGGAAGGAAAACTGCCTAAAACAAGAGGAGTAAGTACTGAGAGAAGTGCTTCCGAAGAGAGCTCAGTGGTCACATTGAGCCCGTGCCCCCCCCTCCACCCCAGGACCCAGGACCTGGGACCCCAGGCCTCAGGGCAGCACTGGAGAGGAGGCTGGTGAGGTCTGCCGAGGAGGAGTTGGTCCCGGGAGAGTCAGGCTTAAGAGATCCTGTGAGGATCTCGTCCTGCAGGGAGTCCTGGCCCAGCTCTGGGCCCCAAGGGGGGCTGACTGGTAGAGAGGGTGGTCTGTGGCCTCGGGGGAGCAGTTCGTGGCTGTCCCAGTGAACCTGTGCACTCCCCACCCACAGGCATTCAATCTGACCACACAAGTGCTGTCCACACAGCCCAGGTGAGCCGTGGCCTTCTCCTGGGCACATGAAAATACTATAGTCACAAACCTCAACCCAAACCCAGTGAGAAGTGCTGGAACAGTCCAAATCCTGTCTGTGAGCCGGCAGTCTTGCACTTGCTGAGTCCGGGCGAGGGCAGGAAGGCCTGGGTCTCCTCTGGGAGAGACCTGGGCCGGAAGTGGAGCATATGAGCTGAGGGAGGAGACACATGGACCCAAAGGAAAAGAATCTTCAGCACAGCTGTAAATGCTATTCCTCAGAAAATCCTGGAAATGAAAACAGAGAACACCCCAGGTTACCTTTCATCTCTGTGCTGGCCACATCACCTAGGCGATACCCGGGTTGGTGGTTTGGATGGAGAGGTAGGACCTGAGTGCTTGGAAATGAGCCTTTAGAACACCCTTGCAAATGATGTGAGCAAGGTGGAATGCGTTCCCAAGGGGATGCCCCAGGCTCCCAAATTCTGTCCTGAGAGGAGCTGCCTCAGAATCCTTGGCAGGCTCCGGCCCTGGGGGGTTTGGATGGGCCCTGGGATCTGCATTTTCACAAAGCTCCCAGATGGTTCTGAGACTCCATTTGCAGCCCTGAGTGACATCCCCATGCTGCATTTTCATTCCCAGAGTCCTAAGGACATGGCAGATGCCACCAGGCACACGGGGATGTCACCTCCATGATTTTATAGGCAACTTGGCTTTCTGGGGAACTGAGAAGGACCTCCAGAGTCTACCCTGCCTCCCAGCCTGTCTTCCCATGCAGGGACACCCATGTGGCCCCTGAGACTGTCTGGGACACTGTCTGGGACCACCCTCTCTTGAGGTTCACCCATGATTGCCCTAGGGTTCCTAAGCCAGGCCAGGTGTCTAAGGCCTTCCAAAGCTGTGGTCTTTCAGCAACTGCACTGCTTGTGGGGTCTGTTTCCAGGAAGAAGGGCACCATCGTGGTGGACCCCGCCAGCAACGTGTACTATCGCTGGCTGACCGTCATTTCCCTGCCTGTCTTCTACAACTGGTGCCTGTTGGTGTGCAGGTAGGGGTGTGGCTGGGGCCTCCCCCAGGGACAGGGAGGGAGAGGGAGGGCAGCCAGGCTCTAGATGGCCGAACTCTGAGTCTCAATCAAGAGCCTGGCTCCTGGCTCCTCTGGGCCACCACGCAGCTGTTCCTCCATCTGTGAGGCGGCTCTGGAGGAGCTCCGTGAAGGCTCTCTGATGCACTGGTGGGACCTGTGCTCGCACCCACAGCAAGGTTCCTGGCACCTTGGAGCCTTAATGGAGTTGTAGGAGGAAGAAGCAGGGGGCTAGCTGCCTTTATTCTGAGGGCAGGGTGGGGGTGGGGCTCTCCCTAGCAGCCCGTGGGATGGGGTGCAGGGGAGGGGAGCTACTCTCTGATTATAAGCTGGGGGCCCAGCTTTCTGTGCTGGGGTGCAGAGTGAGCTCTTATGAAAGGTTCCAGGGCCTTTGGGTGCTCCTGAGCAGGCCTTCAGGACAGGGTGCAAATTCCTGGGCCAGCATGTACTTCTGAGGTGCAGGGACAAGCTGCTGCCCTCCTGGGATTCCAGGGAGCTCAGGAACTTTCTCAGGAAGCTGCAGGAGAGGAAGGCAGGGTGAGCAGCTCGTCTCATAAGAGGCAGAGGGAGGGGGATCTGGGTCTCTCCTAGGTAGATGCTGCTCCTCTGAGGTAGGTGGGAGCTGGGCGAGCCTGGGAGAGCCAGTAGGACTGTACGGTGGGGCTGTGTGCTTCCTGAGAAAGCTGCAGAAGAGACAGGGCAGCTGCTGGTCTCCTGGGCAGGCAGATCTGCAAGAGAGGGGGCAAGGATGTGTCCTTTCTTCGCCAGTGGGGTAGGTGGAGTTCTGGGAGGTCCTGAGCCAGGTAGAGGGCAAAGATGCAGGGACAAAAAGGCTGCATTTCTGAGAGTGACCTGTGGCTTTAGGGCATTCCTGTTCAAGTCTGGAGACAAGAATGCAAGGGTTGAGGGGCTCCAGGGTGGGGGGGTTG